TGCTACATTGAATGGAATGATTTGTAGTGTCAGCCCATATAACAGTTACCAACTGTTCTGAATCAAACCTGAATTTGGTTTGTTTTTCAATAAAACCAGAAAACAGATATCTCTGTTTTCTGATTCAAAGCATCTGATAACATGAAGTGATTTAAAACAGATAGTCACTCATCACTTAAATAACAGCCAAAAAAAAAAGGTAACCTTGTAGCTTTTAGAAACAGAGGGAATAATGTAGTGGTAATGTGATGTCTACTCCAAATGGAGGGGGAGATTGTAAGAGTAAACTGCCAAATGTAGATATACTTCGGCCTGCTTCAGTGCTACTGTTTCAAATGATTATTCATGTTTGCCTGGGTACTTCATGTCTTGCCAGGCATCCCGAAGGCCATCCATGGAAAAAGCTGAAACTGTTCATCATTAGGCAATGTTCCTGAAACCATAACTTGAATTTTGATTTTGTGTCTTTATTGAGTGTCAATAAACTTGAATGGTCAATGTAAGAATCGTATTTCAGAGGACATATGAACCAACTGCTTGAGTCTTTGCTTGGCAAGGTTTCAAGGTGCAGGTATCAGTAACACTATAGTGCCTCTCTCCCAACTCATTAAGTGTTACTTTAACTGCTTTCATAGGTTATGCTTCTCCACAAATATTATTGCATTAGAATGTAAAAGTGGTGTTGAAATTGCTACCATTCTAATGAGCTGGGAACCCTTTGAGGCAGTTGTTGATTTTTACCATTTAATTGTGTTTGTAACATTATGCTTTTGATTGTGCAGAAACAAATCTTTCTACTAGAAATGAATATAGGTGTGGAGGTCTTTGGGCTGTGTTCTGTGACTTGACAGCAGAGATTTGTGCAAGCAAATCTTCCTCATGAGTTTTCCTTCTTAAAGAAATACCACCCTGCTAAAATGTGTGTAGTTTATGAGGAGGAATTCTTAAGCTTTTCTAAGACTTTGAATTGTGAGATTATTGTTGTTTTTTCTGTGATAATGCTGTTTTCTGTGACAGCACTGAAGCGTTATGATGGAGATTTTCAGTTCTGTATGGTAGCAGTAAATGAATGGTAGCATCTTTTAGCCAGAGATTAACTGAGTTTTGCATTCCAGAAGTGATTCATTTTCCTGGTGTAATAAATGCAATTTGTTTAAAAAAAAAAAAAAAAAGTGTATTTGTTCTTCAAGGACTAAATATATATTTGAAAATTTCCAGGTATGTATCTTTGCAGTTTAATTAAAGTAGTCCTTAAAAATTCAGTACTTCGTGAGAACTTATTTGGATTCCGATTATTTTTATTCGTTATGAAGAAAGTGTAAAAGAAATTATTTCTTTCGGATCAGCTTTCTTTCCACTATTCATTAGCTTTACTGGGTCCAGAAGGTATCAATGGTAGGTTAACCAGTTAACCTTCTGGAGATGTAACAAGATAAAAGACTTTCAAATTCACTTGGTTTTGTATGGTGTTGAGACAGTAACTTATATTTGCTTAAGCTTCTCTATCAGAAATGAGTTGAGCCCAATATCAACTGGCCATGCTAGAGCTGGGAGGTTTGGCCAGTATAACCTCCAGAGGTCCCTTCCAACCCATTCTGCCAACCTCAAGAAATGGGAGTTCATGCAGTCTGCAGGTAGCTGTCAGGTAGCAGCAGTCTGCAGGTAGCTGTCAGTAAGTACATGCTGGTGTTGCTGCCAGCCAGAACTGGGTAACATCATCAAAGCAGCCTGGGGCAGTATGTGTTACAAACAACCAGCTTAGCAACCTATGATTATTGTTATAACCTGTAATGTTGTAAAATATAGATCAGAATTGTTTGATTAACTTCTGTTAAAATCTTGATTGAGTTTTGCATAATTCCTGTCTTTTGTTCTTTAGTAATAATGTTTAATACCAGCCTGGTCAGATAGCTTAATGTCAGACTCCTCAGTGCTGCTCATTCTTTTTGAAAATGAACTTGTTCTTGGGAATTGCCATGCTATTTGAAGGTATGTTGGAAGTTAAATATTTATACAGTCCAACAGTACTAAGGAAGGTAAACACAAGCTATCTACACTTCGTTAAATACTTGTTTTCAGTAGTGTTTTGGGGTGGTTTTTTTTATAATGGTTAGCTTATTAATAGCCCAGAGTACATTTGACACAATTATCATCATCCTGGCTTTTAAAAGAAAAAAAATTATTTAAAAGAAATACTGTTGTGGGGTTTTTTTTGTCTTGTTGTTATTTTCTTTCTCGCTCATAAATGTTTTTGTCTCTAGCTCACAGTGCCTTTAAAATAGTAAGATTAGAATTTCTATTGTTTCTAATGTGTTTGATTCAGGGACTAAATCCTGCCAGACACAATGCAGGGATGAACTGTGTTTAGCTTTCTCATCAATCTTCTAAACTCTGTAACTTGTAACTTATGTTATTTATTATCCACATTTTAACTGTGTTTAATACTGCTTCTGCTGCTTGGCAGAAAATGCTCACCAAACAGTTCTGTGTTTTTTACCTTAGTGTCAACTACTTAACCATTTGGTCTGGGAAAAGGTAAATCCCATGTTTTGATTCCTCATGTGCACAGTAAAAACATCTGCCTTTTGCCCTTGACTATGTTTTTTTTTTTTTTAGTGTGCTCTTGCTTTTCTTCTTGTTACTGTGACATTTGTCTTCCAGTTGTATGTCACTGGTATTGCTATTCTTCTATTTGTAAATTCATGTTTTCCCTCAAAATGATATATCTGAATACAATTTTCATTACTTTTTAAGAACAGCTCTGTCTTCTCTTAATTGTGGGATTATGATTTTTAGAATGTTATTTAAGTGGTCATGCACAGTTCCCATCTGTCATTTTAAGAGACGAGTATGATTTTCTTTCTTAACACATCAGTCACAATTGATTTCAGATAGGTTTTTCCTCAAGGAGCTGTTGTGAGGAAGTGTTAGTAGTCTTCATCTGCCATTCCATGTTTGTGCCATTATTATACTATGTATAACAATGGCAAATATAACTCAAACCTACTTTTAAATTCTATGATCCGTTCCCATCAGGTGATGAACTCTTGCAGTGCATCAGCTTTGCATCAACTTGGGCAAATTCCATGAGACACTCAAGTACAGAGCTATTACTTTTGAGTTGGAAAAATATTTCATAATTTTTACAACTTCCAGACAGGTGGCCTAAAGCATGACCCGTATGTCATTCAGTCTTTTCAGGCGGTGTAACATTATTCCCCCTGAATCTCCAGCACCTGGAGGCTGTTGCTGCAGGCGGTGGTCCTCCCTTTGCTGGTGACTGCATGCACCATCTTGTGCTCTGTGTGTGAGAGAATAAGTTAAAAAAAAAAAAAAAAATGGTCAGCGTCTCCCAAATAATTGCAGTTGTCTTCATTTTTGTTTTTTCATGATTCATTTTTCATGATTAGTGTAGAATCTCTCTTACTACTATAACCTTTGGAGACACTGGGTTTTATTTATTTATTTATTTGGGTTGGGGTAGGGGAGGAAGGATATAAAGGAACCAAAGTAGACAGGTCTTGCTCCAAAGGAAAACTGTGCTCCATGAAGCCCAAGTGCTTCTACTGTTTACTGATCTGGGGAGGTAGGGGCAAACTAAGTCAAAGAAGTCTATCAGCTTCTTTCTGGTAGTGGTAAAATAAAGCTTCCTGGATGGTTTTCTTTGTCTATATTGCATTTTTTCTGTAAAGTTTACAGAACAGGGAGACCCTCAGTGTAACCGTTGTCTGTCTGTTGCCAGTTGTTGCCCTCTAGTGTCTGGATGGTATCTGGAGGAGTTTGTTGGTTTATTTACCTGTATACAAGACCTAGGAAGACTCATTTCTGTCTTTAAGAGAGCCTTCCAAGAAATGAGGCTTCTGAGAATGAGTTTCTTCTGCTGTCTACCAAGTGGATCTACTCTTGCTTGCTGAACTGCTCCATTAAATCCATGGCCGTGTTTTGTGGCACACAGCAGTTTGTGAACAGTTCTCCAGGTGTAGTCTGGAGGTGCATCAGGAAGGATGCCTGTGTTATTTCTGAGTTATTATCAGTCACTTTTTGGTAATCTGTTTTTCTATGTCTGAATATGCTGCCATGCAGAGCTAACACTATACTAGTGGATATAAATTCACTGGCAAAATGTTAGTACTATCTACTTATAGTTAATTCTGTCATATTTACATGATTTTAGGTACCTATCAAGTGTGAAAACCCAGAAGTTGCAAAACCTTAGTAGACCAGTGTAAATGAACTTTGTGTCAGCACTGCACGTTCATGATTAAGGAGATTGCAGCTGCAGTCTGTAACTGGTTTTGTCTCACAGGGATACTGAGGATAACACTCAGTGCCTGCAAAAAACTTGAGCAGATAAACCTTGTTTTTCCCATAGTTGAAGAGGGGGAATATGACTTACCTCTAACTTATGGTTTTGTATATGATTAATGAACATGCTGATAAGTGAAATTAAGCATGTTGCATGTAGCTCCTTCTTTCCTTCATTTGTCTTAATACTCATCATTCATTTTGTTGTTTATTTATCTTTTAACAAATCAGAAATTCAGCCGGAGTGACTACTAAAAATAGTAATGTATGTAACGAGGCATTTCCTTTTCTTGGGAATCCACACGATTCCCTGCAAAATCAGAAATCTACATCTGGTGGAGGCTCTGTAATTGGCAGATGGTTTGGGGGAAGGGAGAAACAAAGGATTCAGGGGAATGTATCCTAAAAAATTAACTCTGTAGCAAAAAGATATTATGATTTCCTGGACTTCTTTTATATAGTTGTTGTGTTTACAAAGCAAAAAGTGTTTAAGTGATTGTTTTGAAACTTCTGAAATGTTATTTTTATGTAACTGGAAAGTATACTGCAGCGGTATTCATTAAATTGATGATTGTTTAGAAATTGGGATCTCTAGAAATACCACTTTAATTTCCTTACTAATCTTTCTTTCAATTACATCATGTTTGGAAGGGGCTGAGAAAGTACTAAGCTAGTTTTTTTGTTACCTTTCTTAGGTTTTCAGTACTTACTCAAATGAAGATTATGATAGACGTAACGAAGAAGTTGACCCTGTGGCAGCCTCAGCTGAATATGAACTTGAGAAAAGGGTGGAAAAAATGGAAGTATTTCCTGTGGAAATTGAAAAAGGTGTGAATCAGACCTTGAATATTAGAGATACTATGGGAAGAAAAGATAAAGCAATTGTAAACTGTATTGTTGCTGCAATTGGTTCTTGAATTTTTGAATGTAGGCTGCAGCTTTTATGCGTAGCTATTCTGTTGAATGTAATGACCTTTAATTGAACAGTCTTCCATTAAGGACAAGCTGTCATACCTAATTGAAGTTAGGAAGGATACATTAACAAGCAGCTGGTCTGCACTAGAATATATGCAATTCATAAATCTTTGAACTCAAATTCTCTTTCAGGTTCCATGAAACTTTGAATCTAACAGGAAGTCATAACTACAAAACAAAAAAAGATTTCAGTAGTATCTGGACTTGAAAAAAAAACCAAAATGAATGCATTATATATTTATACATTAAATATGTATTTATAAAATGTGTACATGTTTTTATCTTTTGGAATGACTTGAAACACTTCAAAACCTCTCACTAGTGCTTAGTGTTGTATCATCTATTATCTGGCTAATATTAAATAATTTAATCTCTTAGGTGACAGCGGTCTGGGCATCAGTATTATTGGAATGGGAGTTGGTGCTGATCAGGGGCTGGAAAAACTGGGCATTTTTGTAAAAACAATAACAGATGGTGGAGCTGCTCAGAAAGATGGACGGTGAGTTTTCCACTGAATTGATTACGGTTTTTGCACATTTCTGACTGATTCCAGTCATTTTCATCTGATAAGCCAAATACTGTGAATAAAGCTACAAGGATGACTTCAAGTGAATAAATATTACATTGCTGGTTTGTGTTAAATTTAAAAAATGCAGTTATTTTACTTAATATAGGACATTTTTCAAAAGGAGCTTAGGTTTTCTTACAGGATGTCTGAGAAAATTTTAGAAAATGTCCACATGTAAAAGTGCTACAAAATCAAGCTGGTGATCCAGAATCCATTCAGTGTGTGAATAGTATAAAAATATCAAGGCAAACACTATGTATAGTTTTTAATTGCTGATCAGCATAGTAATTGAGGATCAGGAGATTAGTTTTAAGGAATGGAATGCTTGGTACTCAAAATTTCTTATTATAGGTAGTAGGGAGTTTTAAGTGATATTTATCATGTCAGTAATGTATCTAGTCAAATATTTTTGTTGAACTGATGTCTAAAGTATTTATTTTTGCAGAATTCAAGTAAATGATCAGATTGTGGAAGTTGATGGCATAAGTCTAGTGGGAGTTACTCAGTTCTTTGCAGCCACTGTACTCAAAAACACCAAAGGCACAGTGAGGTATGTGTTGTTTTCTATCAGGTAATACCTTCTATTTAAATGTAGTTTTTCATTAATGGAGAATACAAAACTATAGCTTGAAAAATTTACAGAAAATTTGCTGAGGGCAATAGTATGACAAACTAACCACTTAAATATCTCTTAAGTTTTTGCTGCAAAGTAATTTGTTTTTCTTTTGTAGGTTTCTGATTGGCAGAGAGAAGCCAGGGACTCAGAGTGAAGTAGCCCGCCTCATTAGTGAGACTTTAGAGCAGGAGCGATGTCTGTATGAGCAACACTACGTTCATGATGATACAGAGCAGGTAAAACATCATACACACACAGATGTTTAAAGCACGCCATTACTTTTGCAAATGGGATGAATGTTTTTTGAATCAAATTGAAGCAAAGAAAAATAAAGATAAAACAGGCAAGCTGATTAAAAGAGAAAATACAAAATTAATACACAACCTTTATCAAAGTATGCAGTTATAACTACTTGCTATATTCACCAATAATCCAAAAGATATTTATAAACACGAGTTGTGGATTTTGTTGTCCATGGCTTACTTAACTCTCTTTTGAGGAATTTTGATGAAAATATTTGCAAACCTCCTTTAAAAGTGCATGGGTGCATGCTGGTGGGTGTTGTGGGTGCACGGGGATTTGTGGCAGCGAGGAAGGGACTCACTGCAATTTGGGGAGGGGGTGGCGAGGGCAATGGAACTCAACTACAACTAGGGTTAAGGCTACAGCCCTTCACCTACTGTCCAAATCCACGTGTAGCTAAAGCGTTTCCTCTTCTTTAAGTGTAGCCATCCACTTTTAACTCAGAAGCACAGAAATAGCCATAAACACACCTTGCTTCTGGTCTGTGAGCCACTTATATTTTAAACTATAAGGAATGTCACACATAGAAGAAACTAAAAAAGGATTAGTAACTAGTTAAGAAGTTTTGCAGTTCTTTGCGTTAATCACAGAATTGCAGGAGTTGAAAGGGACCTCTGAAGATCAAGTCCAACCCCCTGCTAAAGCTGGTTCTCTACAGCAGGTCACACAGGTAGGTATCCAGATGGATCCTGTATATCTCCAGAGAGGGAGACTCCACAACTTCTCTGGGCAGCCTGCTCCAGTGCTCCATCCCTCTGACAGTAAAGAAGATCTTCCTTGTGTTAGTGTGGAACTTCGTGTGTTCTGGTTTCTGCCCATCACCCCTTGTTTGGTGGGAAGCCTAGCTGCCGTTTGCTTATTGGACTGAACAGACCCAGGTTTCTCAGCCTTTCCTCATGTGGGAGTTGCTCTCAGGCCCTTAATCATCTTTGTCTTTTTTTTTTTTTCAGGATGATGAGTATGATGATGATGATGATACATATGAATCACATTTACGTGAAAAATCTGTGGAAGTTTTTGATCTTCCTGAAAATGAAGATATCAGTTTACCACTGGATATGGATTCAGCACAATCTCTTCTTAAATTTAAAGAGGTATAGTAGTAGCAGTTTTTTTACTATTCTTCATGATGTACTAGGGAGAATCTGAATATTATATGTTTTCATGTCCCCATCATTGTGGTTTTGAGTTTATTTTCCCGCTGGCAGCAGTAAATTTCCCTTATAGATGTCCCTTTAAACAAAGACCCACATTCTGAGGGTTGCTGAAGTTGATGAGGTCTGTGTAAAATAGAAAATAGAAGTAGCTGATTCTGGAGAGGTTTAGAGGATTTTTCCAAGTTGTTCCCTCTGTTGCTTTTTTTTTTTTTTTTTTTTTTAGTTGCATTTTGTTGAGAAGGGGAAAGGTTGGAAATAAAGAACTTACTTATGAACCAGTAGGAGGTCCCATTATGTGATTCCCTACTTGACACAATTGGAAAATTGGGTTCCTTTTTCCCAATGGGTTATTAAAGAGTTTATTGGCCTTATTCAGGCCTGTGGATTATATTCTGGGATTTAAGTAGTGCAGTGCTTGGCATATAGGGGCCTGTGTTTTTTTGGTAGCTTTAAGTACTTGTGATTTTTACTCAGGAGAAGAAAAATACACTGCAAAAAAGCTGTCTGATCCCAGCTTGGCACTTTCAGAGGCTATTTGTACATACTTATTTTTATAAAAGATATTTGCAGACCTTCTCACGTTTGTTTTCCGGATAATTCCGATATTGAGAAAGTGATCAGTAGTTTGAAAATTCAAATAGAGAGCATTTACATCTTCTCTGCGAGAGGCACCACTGCTATGTATGGCATCTTTAAAAGTGTCATATTTACTTGGGGTGCTGTTGAATTTCCAGCTAGAATCGTTACCAAGCTGTTATTAACATAATTTCAGTTATGGATTTTAAGTTATGGAGACATCTATTTTAATACTCAGTATGTTATGCCTTACTAAAAAGTAAAAAGGTCCCCCAGGGTAATAGATGGAGAGTTAAATATAAGAAATAACTGCCAATTGTCAGAAAAAACCTTTACACTCATATGCATGCTGTTTCCTTGTCACGTTAAAAGTAATTTTTACATTTGGTTCAGATGTAGCCTTCTATCTGTAACTATCCTCTGAAGATTTCTGTTCTGAAGTATAAAGCTTACTTTCAAATCAAACCTTGTGTATTTATTTGTCAGTGCTGATAAGTTAAAAAAAAAAAAAAAAAAAGATATTGTTACATTTTTACTTGATTCTGTGTACAAGCTGTTGTCATAACTGCATTATTGCCTTCTCATTTTCCTAGATCATTGAAATGTTATCTTAACCTCCTCACTTATCTAAATGTTAAAAGCTCAACATTTTTTCAATACCATAGGTGATGATATAGTTTAACTTCTTTTTTTAAGTTCCTAATTATTTCTTCTGTAGTTGACAAAGAAATAAGCTGACTTCATGTGAGGGAGATCAGACAAATAATTAAAGCTTGCATTTCATGTATCATTTCCTGTGTGCTCCTGCAAAATTCTATTTGTTTGTTTCAGCTGCAGTTAAAACATGCAGTAACAGTAGCTGAAGTGAATCAACTGAAGGAGAAGGTAAGTGTTCAAAGAATTGTGACTGAGTTGTTTTGTTGTTTGTTTGTTTTTTAATTTCTGTTTCTAGCAGCGAATTTTACCAAGATTATGCTGAATGCAAGGGACAGCAATCTGTTTTAGGCCTCAGGCTGTGTGTACTGTGTTAAGCAAGACAGGTATTTCTGAAGATCTGTCCTCAAATAGGGGCTGGGAAAAGTGCTATTTTAAAATGAATGCTTCAGTATTGCTGCTTACCATCAAACTGAATTTAGCTGACTCTCCATGAAGCAAGATTGCAACCAAGCAAGAGAATATTTTCAGTGCAGAGAACCTGTTCTTTGAGTATGGATCTGGCGTTTGTAGATAGTGGTTAGTGCCAGACTTTCTGTTACCAGAAAGTTATTTCTGTTACCTTCTTTCCCATCTTAACCTCTCCCACATTTCTGACCACCTTTGAGTAGAGAGGGTTTCTTTTGTTTGTTTGTTTGTTTGTTTTTCTAGTGAGGATTTGTTCAACGCTTCTGAGTTATCTGAGAACAGTTTTCTTTTTCTTTTTGCCACTTTTTTCATTGATGGAGATCTGTGCATGGTCTTTTTCTAGAAATACTTGCTATAGGTGAGCAGCTGCTTTTATTTCATTACCCTTCAATGTTTTCTTGACAAGAAATGTGTGCTCTAGCATAGTAGATAGTCATAGTCACACTATGCCATTGGAGGAGGATGGCAGGAGACAGGGCAAAGATAAAGCTTCAGATTGCAATAATTTGAATAATAGTATATACTGGAGTTTTTCCTGCACTTTGTAAAAGTTTAGAGCTCTAGGTGTAGAGAGTCACAGCAGCTGAAACTTGGTGTTCTTATGATAATTCTGATTTAACTTTCTGATGGTATTCCTTCTTGCAGTATTCCTGATGTTTAGCCCACTGTTTTGCTAAAAAGCTGTTTAAAATGTTGGTATTAGTACAACTCTTTTGCCTCATTTTTATTTTTTTAATTCAGTAAATGTTTCATCCTTTCAACATCTCTATTCCATCAGGAGGTGGTCTTAACTGATTTCACAAGCAGCAGTTTCCATAGTGCAAATAATATCCCCGAAGAAGGTGGCCAGGCCCAGAAAACTTCACATGGATTAATATTCAGTTCTGTGACTGCTGTTAAGCAGAAGGGGGCTTGTTTCTTTCCTTTGTTGAGGGATTGCTTAATTTTTTTTATTAGTTATCAATCCAGGGATATATAATACTTTGTTAAGATGACCTGGTCTTATTCAAGTGGCGGGGAAGATCTACCATTCTTATTAGCTCTATTAAACAAGCTGTTGGTAACAAAGTAGCAGCACGGGAGGCTTGTCTTTATACTGTTTCAAATACATACAAGAACATTCACTGTCGAAAAGCATTTTGGAGGGGAAATTGTAACTCCCACCATTGAGAATGCCATATTGATTGCTACAAAGAGTAAGAAATCGGTGATGCTTGGTATTAAATGCCATTAAAAATTAATTGGATAGCTAATTGTTTAAGGAGTTTGTTAGGTAAGATACCTCCTTCAATACCATTTATAGGTATGTAATCTAAGGCAAATTGAAAATTTAGCAGTAAGTAAATGCTGGATTGCAACTATGTCAAAATAGGTTCTCCAAGGATGTTAGGAGATGGCGAGTTATTTAACAAGTCAACATAAATAACAGCAAAGATTTTACTAATTTTAACTCTTTTAAAAGGAAGCAATACTAATGAGAAAGTAAAAGGCACCTGAGAGTTGAGTTCTAGAACTTACTTGGATTAGCAAGGTTTGGAGGAGTTGATACGATTTCTTTAAAAGTTCTGTGTCTTGTTTTGATATTATTGATAAGTTGTTACTAGCTGTTTTCTACTAAACATGTACTTTTTGTTTCATCTTTTAGTTTAGATTACTTTATTAATTCTTAATCTTTTCAGTTAGAAGTTGTTGAAGCAGAAAAAAATGAATGGAAATTAAATAGAGCCCAACTTCAGCAAAACTTAGAGGAAAGCAAAGAGAAAATAAAGAAGTTGGAGACCTACTGGTTAGAAGCACAGAGTTTGTGCAAAACAGTAAACGAGCATCTTAAAGAAACTCAAGAACAATGTGATGCCCTTGAAAAGAAATACAACAAGGCCAAGAAACTGCTCAAAGATTACCAACAAAAGTAAGTAGGTCTCTCTTCCTTTCTTGCGTATTTTGTACATCATGAGAAAAAACCAACAAAATATGTAAAGGGCTGATTTGCTTAACACACTTTTTGTCATTTGGCAGAGGGCTATGCATGCTCAATTCTTCCATACCTTCATTCAACTTCTGAAAAGGTTTTTCAAAAGTTTTGTTGCTGCTTTTGAGTCTACCTTTTATTTCTATTTCCTTTTGGTAATCATTTTTTTTGTGTGTGTGTGTAACCTATCATTGCAATTTCTTTAGGAGAAACCAAGTAGAAAATTAAAATGTTATTTACTTCTCTTCAAAAAAAATCTACCATAGCTTTTGGAAGGAAAATGCTGTAGTATACTGCATGTGTATATATTTGTGGAAGTAAGATCCAATTATTAGAGTTCTGCATATATTTGATGTGCAATTTGTTTGCCAGTTTTTAAAATAAAGTGTCTCTTTTTCAGTCCAGAGTGAATTAGTGTCATAAGTGATTTATTCTGTGAATACAGTAAATATTGTATACACAACTATATGTGTCACTTTGTGACACTATGAAATTAATGAATCTATGACACAGTACAGATTGATTTTTTTCAATGTACTTACTAACAGGAAGATTCTTAATAAATGCAACTGGGCATATTTATTTTCTGTATTTTTCTACATATCTACATACTATTGTTTCATAGATATGAATGTTCTCTTTCACCAGAGAAATAGAGTTTATGAAAAAAGAGGAGGATCATTTAAGGGTACTTGAAGAGAGAGACCAGAAATATGCAGAACAGCTGAAAATGTATCAGGAAAAGGTAACACAATGTAATATTTAAAATCAAACATCTGTATTCTTGAGTATTTGTCTCACTTCTACACTTCAATTCTTACAGATTTCAGAGCTTGAAAATAAACTAATAGTTTATGAGAAGATGCCATATATGTTTGGAAGTGGGAGTTTATTGGAAGACGGTTGTCAAAATCTAAGCCAGCATAATGAGCAGTCAAAGATGAGAGAAGAGAGTGAAAAAGAAACAGAATCAGTACAGGAAAGACTAAATTCTTCAGAGATGTTAATTTCTGGTAAGTAAGTGTTAGATCTTAGATTTGCACTTAACAAAAGTTAGGGGGTGTTAATGTGTGTGTGGTGATTTCTTTATTTAAAAAAAAAAGCAACACCATAATCTTGCTGGATAAGAAGTCCTCCAACATTTTCAGGATTTCCGAAATGCTATGTGCAATATGGAGAGAGAGAGAGGGGGGAAGATGACTATATTTACTTTTCCTTGTATTCTCTAGTAGTGAAGCCAATAGTATTAGCAAGGCTAAAATGTTGACATATTTCAGTTTAAGTCCAGTTCTGCTGATTGTAGAAAGTTGTTATATAAACCATAGCTCATGATTTAAATTTTCTAATAATTTTATTCCCAGAAGTCTATCAAATATCAGGCAGTGTTTCAAATGAGACGTATATTTTAACAAGATTTGGTTGATGCTTATGTACTTTTTAAAGGGTCTTTATCTCAAAGGAAGGCATATTTGTGGCATAAATTCTCATCAGTTTGAGAATAAAATTAAGTATTCAAGCCATAAATACAATTATATCCTGACTGATTTTATTTAATAAAAAAAATTGAAGAAATCGGGTTGAAATTCAAATTAGTCAGTTATTTTTGACCACTGTGATAAAATATTACAGCATTATAAAAATAGTATTGTCGTACATTAATAAATCAGAATTATTCCATCTGCTGATTAGCTTCTGAATATTCTTTCTGAATTGTGGGTTGGAGAACTTGCATGCTAATACTCTTTAAAAGAAGTATGTATTTGTTACAGATTTTGATGCTTTTGTTGGGGATACTCCCAGATTAGACACCAGTGCCCACAAAGCAAAAGCTCAGCTTGCTTTGAAAGTAAAACGCCAGCCACCTTCTCGATCAAAGCTGAAAGAATCTCTTGGGGCTGGACAACAGACTGCGAATCTACAGGTACCAATCTGAGTAGAAAGTTAGGCATTCAAAAGCCTGAACGTATATTCAGTTTTATTTGTATTCTCAATTTGAAGTGATGTCCAAGCTTCATTCAGACTGTGCCAAAGCAGGAGATTTTTGTGCTGTGTGTCAAGTGGAAAAGACTTATTCAGGCTCACATATGTGATCTCTGGCAAGTTTGTTGTAGCATAGTTAATTTGAAGTTAGCAAAGAGGTATTCAGGTTTACTGTATGCTGTTTTTACTGAAAAATTCTGACATAGTACCAGTGGTATGTTGTGGAACGTGCCTATCTGTGTTGCAATCCCTTCATCTGAAGCAGGTTATCAATAATTAGAAATATTCTTCAAAAACTAAACCTTTTTCTGAAATATTTTATTCTGTATGTAATCACTTATGTCTGTAACAAAATGTAGCGATAAAATGTCCTAGCGCAATTTGTGGCCCTATCTAACTTTTGTCCTTCTGTCTGAACTTAGAGTCCCAGTGGTGCATTTAACAATACCTAACTCTCTGTTTCCATTTCTACTTGTACAGTGGTTACCTATTCTTAGCATGGCTTTTCATTTGTAATAACTGTATGAATCTAGGACTTCTCTTGGTGGTGTGCCCCTTTTTGTGTGTCCCCTTAACTTTCAGCCTTCCCTTTTTCAAATGTCTTGGTTGAATTTAAACTTGGGAACGTTGGTTTTACAATTTCACAAACTCTGTATTTGATTTTATTGACTTTGTGTTTTCATAAAAATATATAGCAGCATTCTCATTCTATTTGAGAAAGCTGAAAGTTAGAAGTTATAAAATTTTTTTGAGGATGTAATTTGGTGTTATGAAATAACAGTGTAATACTGATAGCTCTTAAGGTCTCTATCTGTATTTTTATTTCTACGCATTCATCTGCTAGCAGTACAGAAAACCAGTAAAGTTTGCCCGCAGTGTGATTCTATTCTAATTTTCTTTGATGTAAATGGTCCATATTTATGTTCTCCCTGAAGATGGCCCTTTTTTATAACAAGCCTATGATCTTGGCTAGTATCATGATTAAGTACTTATCCACACATTGGTGTCATAGCCAGTGAAATTCTAATGGAAACAGATTCTGGGCATCAACTGTTAGTCTCCTTTAATGGAGCAAGTAAAAGAGAAGAGGAGAAAAAAACAAAAACAACTTGTTCGTGAGCTCACAGAACCTTGCAGAGATTTTAACATGAGAATAAGCACGTGAGTGCAGGATGTAAGGGGGGAAAACAGTTGTAGATACAAAGGGACATAACTAGTATATGAGAGAACCTGTCACAGAGGGAGAATTACTTGGTTTGAAAGGGTTTTAAAACCGGTTTGGAATAGGCAAGATATACTAGAATCTTTCTAAATTGTCTAGATAAAGGTGATTTGAATGTGCAAAAGGTTGTAGGAGCCTATAAAACCAGCTTTATATCATTTAGATGATATCTGCAACTTATCAAGCTAAAATTGTAACTGTTTGTAATTTTCTGAACTGAGCAAGTTTGTGCATAACATAGAATATCCTTAAATCATGGCAAAAGATTAAATGAAAAATTGAAAGATTAAATGATTATATATCACGTTTATAAAGTGACTTTTGAATTTCTTGAAGGATGAGGATTCGGAAGATGCTATTCTCAGTGGAGAAGTTTCTACTCTATGTCTAACGAAGATCTCAGAAATAAGTGAAAAATTAACTCTGCCTCATTTGGATGACATAGAACGAAAGAGTGAAAAGCCTGAACAAACACAAAGTACAGAAAGTCCTTTAGAGTCAAGTCCTTCTGCTTCCACACACTCTTCTCCAGTACACAAACCAAATAGTGAAAATAGCACAACCACCACTCATTCACCTACTCCTGAAGAGATGGCTCCAAATTCTCCTCAAGGGTCTACCAAGAATGTTAAGCAAAGAGAAGTAAAAGGGAAAGGAAAAGAGGCCAAGGGTAAGACCTAAGATTTTATGTTATTTTAATACTTTGGAATCACTATGGTTTTAGATGTTAATTATTACTGAGTAATAAGCCCCTTAGTAAGAAAAGAAAGTGATTACTAATTACTTGTTCTAAACCCATTTCTTAACTCTTCAGGAAAGTCTAAAGTTAGCAAGAGTGTATGCAAGACCATTTTATTCAGTTTTATTTGAGTTTCCATTAGATGTACTGAAGTGAACATAGTTCTTTAAATGAATGAAAAGAGGAGGAAGTACTAGTAGCAGTTATTACACTGGAGAGATTACCATTTATGGTACTCAAAATCTGATCATTAGTAAGAACAAAACAAATAAAAAACACAGCAATTTGCAAGTTTTTTAAGTACATGAAGGAAGTTAAAACTGAACATTTGTCCACATAATGTCATGTTTAAGACCTCCAGTGTGGACATCAAGATGGTAACTTTCTCTTGTCAGCTCTACCTGAGGCATGAATTTGTTTACTGTTGCTTACATTTAATGTCTAGCCAGTCAGTTCCCCCTCCTTGAGAAGAGTGTCTATTGATGACAAACAGCATCTTTGGAAGTGGAGCCAAATTCTTGGCCCTTGCCAAGACGCTACTGAAGTAATGTAGTCTGTGTTAAAAGAGTTGCTTTTGAGAATAGTCAATAGACCTGCAAAATCACTTGTATATCCATTAAATATGCTGGGATCGGGGTCCTTTAAATGTCTGAAAACTTGATTTAAAGCTCATTTAAAGCATGCTTGTTAAGGTACTTTGAGATCTGAATGGATGTCAGCAGAATTTTCAAGGCATTCTGCTAAGGATTAGAATTTATTTTTTAGTCTGTTTTCATGTACATATTTATCAGAATAGTATCAAACAGTAACATCAGTGTAGTGTTTTTTTTTGTGTAAATAAAATGTAAGAAATATTTGAGTATTTAAATTTCCTGAAAATATTAAGCAGATATTAATAAACTCTTCCAGTTTAAATATTATCTCTTTTTTCATGGGAGCACTGCATTGCTTTTGCTACTAACATTCTTTATTTACGTCTTAATCTTAGAATACTTACTTTAAGATTTTATTCTTAAACGATCTTGACTAGTCAAGAATCTTGACTAATATATGTGGTGTTTTCAGTTTGCCACTACATTAAATTTTCAAATATTAGGATTGCTCAAACTAAATTCCAAGTTTGAACAATCTGTAAACATAATTTTTTATGTATACTGTTACAAGAAAAAGGTCTAATCTTCATCTAAGATGACCAATAGTGATTGCATAGCATATGCCTTTGGTATTAAATGAACAAAGGAAGGCAGAGTATTTTACAAAGATTGTAAGTAAAAGTTCCATTCTAAGCATACTTTGTTATTTCAAAAAAGATGGACAACTTCACATTTTTAAAGTCCTATCTAAAAAGCATTTACAGAATAAATGCTGTTTCAATTAAGCAGTTGATAACAGCTCAAACTACAAACCTAAAGAGTCTAAATAGTTGCCTTGATATAAGGTAGAGGAGAGCTACATCACAGACTATGTATAGTCATTAAAGATCCTAAAATATTTCTGCAGAATACTGGCACCATAAGCAGCATAATGTGACTGATTTACAATTCTCAGCAAAATTTAACATTGGCCTTTTTTCCAGATGTGATGCGGGTCTTTATGCAACATACAGATCTTGAACATTATGGGAATTGCTGCATTGTTCAAAAGGAACTATGACCACTGTACTCACTACTAATCATTGTTTGATAGAAATATTTGGCTGTTTTTTTCTCATAAATTACAAGAAAAAGGGATCGGATAACAAATTTAAGCTTCTTGATGTGTCTTTTAGAATCACTGGATTATAATTGCTGTCTTTACTATACAGCTCAGAGAAATTCTTTCTTTTAACACCCTGAACAAGATATGTTCTACTTTCCTTACTTCATATCTCTATGATATAATTTTCGTTAGAACTTGTCTCTGTCCTAGCTTATGCTTAAAAATCTTAATAATGCTATTCTCCGTGTTTTGGCTAGGGTACTGGTCAGATGTGCTTTTTCTGTAGCTAGCAGCAGGCATACATTAGCCCAAGTTCCAAATAGCTAGCCTGGACTAGCTGCTGACCCAAGATGAGGAGAGAAGCGTAGAAGGACAACTAAATGTTGTAAATGCTGTTACGCAGGTTTTAGGATCTTATTTATTTAGAAGCATTTTCATCATGAATACTTGAAACTTGCAAGTATTTTCAGAACAACATTTTTATTTTTCACCCCTCTATGGAAAACAGAAGAGAAAAAAAATGAAGACAAAACAGTAGAAACAAATGAAGGAACATCATCAGGGAAGTCCAAAAGGCGATTTCCAGATTTTGGGTAAGATTGATTTGTGATAGTTTGGAAATCAATGGCTTTCAGTGTTGCTTTTGGGTAGCATCATACTCTCTGGAAAAAAAAAAAAATGTTGAGAAAATCTTGTAGTGCTGATTCATTCGTGTTTATATAGCAATAAAATTATGTTCTTTGTTGAGTCACTGAATATTAAGTTTCTTTGGGCATTTTCTGTATTTATCTTGGTTATATGTGATTTTTTTAAAGGAATTTTCAGAATTTGGTCATGGTTTTTAAAATATAAATGACAGTACTTAATTGCATGCATAATCTACAAAATCATGCTCTGTGTAACAATACAAATTTGGCTTTTTATAACTGTTGAAACTGACTGAAAAATATTTTGCACTGTGTAAATGTAAACACTACATGAAAATTGTGTTTCTCACTTCAGTGGATTACGGAAATCTGGGGGCAAGGGCAAGAAACAAGAGAAAGAAAGTGTAAGAGGTTCTCTGGATAGCAGGTATTTGTTCTTTTTGTTTCAGTAATATGTTCTGCATTCCTAGCATTTTTAGCTAGGGAATTTCTTGGAAATCATCATTAATGTTTGACCTTAAAGTATATTCAAATAGAGCAGTGGCAAAATTCTGTACAGATTATTATAGGAATATGGTGATGAGCTTCTGATCTCATGACTTAAGAAGAAGTGGAACTAAAAGTTTTAAAGTACTTAAAGTAAAAAGAGTAGCATAGAGGAAATAGTAAAGCGAGGTTACATTGTAAAGTGGCTCATAGGGTTACACCCTATCTTAAATACTAAAACTGTATTTTACTTAGGAAGGAAAAGAATGTTGTATGAATAATCAAATATTTGGAACTGTTCAGTTATTTTGTGAAATATTGAAAAGGATCTTAATTTAACCAATAACCCAAATTATTTTGCATGGATATGCAAAGGCAAGTCTCAGTTTTCATTCTTAATATAAACTGTGCTATGAAACAGATGCAAATGAGTGGTGTATATTTTTGTTCACTTGTTTCTTGTGGGCTTTCATTTTTGCTTTGCTTAAAAACAACTTAACTTATTTCAGAGGTTCTCGAGAACTGTTGGATGATTCTGGCAACAATCTGTCTGCATCAGATTCGGATTCTCCTGTTCCCACTTGCATGCCTTTCTCGTGGTTTGGAGACAGTCACAAAGAGCCTCAGGTTTCTAGTAGTAGTCTGCACTTTACACAGAGTGGACAGGACAGTTGTGAACATGGTCAAGACAGGAACAGAAGCAAGGTAAAGATAACTAATTTGTGCTTTGAATATTTAAGAGTTGCATCTTGACAAAGTAAAATGTGTAGTGCTTAGTATGTGGAATCTTGATGGCAGACCTGGATGATATCACCTCTTGTAAAATTGCCTGCAGAACCTTGAGTCTGTGCGAGTATTCCATTTAAGAGAAGTATTTAGAGCTGACAGAAACATCTATAGAACTCTCTTCCAGAAAATTGCTTTTGAGTAACTGGTAATATTCTAATAAGTTAAAGCACTTTAACCAAACTTTAACAGTGAGATTATATGGTTCAGTCTATAACCATAAAAATCCCATCTTTACCGTTTAAATTATGTGGAAGAAATGTGTGGCTGTGAAAAGTAAAACTGTTTAGTGAAACCTTCAGTAATGTCCCAGTTTTGTAGCTTTGTTTACACATTGGCAGTAGTGGGATTAAAATTACATGAAAGAAATGCCCACAAAAAATATGTGTGCTGTCTAAATGTTTCGTTAAAACTTTTTTCAGTGTAAGACTGTTACTGATATTCTTAACAAGTTACCTTTATTCTTTTTTCCTTTGAATTTCGTCGGATTGAAAATTGTAGTATTTTAAGTAACCTCACAAACTAAGTTTATTCTTAAGTTTCACACTTCTTCACTCTGATTTTCTAAAAAATTATTTCACTTTCTTCTCTTCCTAAATGTTATTAGAGAGAAAAACATGCTGGGCTGTAGTTCGTGGAGTTTGCTGATAAGTAACTGCCAGATAACAAATTGGTTTCCATGTCTGCAGATATAAAGTGCACTAAAATCCTATCACGAAACAGTTCTTAAACTACCGTCTGATTTCTTAGTGTGAATTTACAGTGGCTGTCATATGATTAAGCTTTGCACATACATGGTATATGAGTTTGCAAAAAATACAAACAGTGGGTTTAGAACCACGCATTATTATAAAATCTTAGTAAGAGCAGGAACCCTTTAATTCCTTAAGTAGAGCTGTCCTTTACAGAATACTCTTCAGTGTGTGCATGTGACTTGTGTATTTATACTTTCCTGTGTTATTTGCTTCTATTGAAGCTAATGCATTTTCATAAATAAGCTAAAGATATCAGGATTGCAAGAACCACATTGAAGAGAATATAGGCTGTAGCAAAGTTATCAAGATACTTTCTGTGTAGATAAACATTCCGTGGTTTAGCTTTCAAAGAGTCACTGTCTCAGAGGAACCCATTCTTCACCTCTTAATTCCTCCTTTCTGCTTGATACAAGTAACTTTTCAGAGCATAGTAAAAATCCCCCTGCTGCATTTCTACTATAAGCAGTAAAAATTTGCTTAAGCACCCCTTAATGTGTTTCTATATGTACTTCAATTAACAATCAAAAATGCATAGATCTTACCAAATCAAGTCCTCTCTCTTCCCTTTCACATTCCTCTGAATTAATACCCTTTTCTTTCTCAACTGTTTGCTTTTCCAGGCTTTTTATCACTTTAACCTTCCAGCTAGCTTCTTGCCTACTGTTTTATTTTTAGCTCGTCTTGTGCTCCAGTATGTAATAGCTGCTCTGCTCTTTTCCTTAGTGCCAGTTGCAAACCAGCAGCTGGAATCGTATAGTAGTCTTCAGCTATACGTTTGCTTTGTAAAACAGAAAGCTGACTGTCAAAGAACACATTATCGCATCAATTGATTCTGAAATCGTGTGCAGCCTCTCCAAAGTCAAGCTGTTTTCACTTTGCAACATTTGGGTGATTTTTTTTTTCCTAAAGCTTTTACTGCAACAGTAAACACTGCTTGGAAAGACTTATCTTCATAGTTTCTGACCTGCCTGTTAAGTTTCTGCTATAAAGAAGAAATCTTTAGTTGGTGGTGAAAATACTCGAAAACTGAGAAGGAAATGTGCCTGACCACTCAGCAATGAGTTTTCTTACTAAAACAATATAGTGGTATGGACAAAATTACCTTAGCAGAATTTAAGGAAAGAATATTCCTTTTCATGGTGGTAATATTTTCTGCTCTTATGCCTGTGGTATCACATATAAGCAGGTGAAAGCACTTCTTAATGAGGAGGTAGAAATAGAAACTCTTGTCATGTCAGATTCTAAAGCTACTGAGTCTTTGGCATTGTTTCATTTGTGTATTTGTGTTTAAGATTGATGGTGTAAGGACTGTAGTTATGCTTTAACTGTTTCCTATTTCTGTGAAATTTACTTCTTGGAATTACTGCGTCTTGTAAGATCTTGTTTTCTTAAAATAATACTAAACTTAGCCTACAAAGCATTGAATCAAATTCTTGTTACTTACGAAAAGTAGGAACACAGGAAACAAAAACCCTGTGATCTGTTTGCAGACAGTTTAGCTTCAGAAAACTTCTAAATTACAGAGTTCTTGAAGAAATCCCTTCACGTAATCTGCCCGTTGATTTCAGCCTGTTCTCTAATACAGTACAAATACGTATATTGTGTTTGCATTCTTCACTCTTCCAGATTATCTTCTGTAAACTTGTATGCAGTGTTTTATTTTTGTTGCAATGAAGAATGCTGTGGAGTAAATTATGTATATCTCAGTACCTTAAATCTTGAGAAATGTACCTGCAAAATCTCTTCTATTCAAGTTCTCTTCAGGAATGAAAAGTCTTTGCAACTGGCTCTAAGTCTTTAAAAGGAAATCTAAGCCCGAGCTGGGGCAGGAAGAAGAGAAAAGAGAATACTTTACAACTGGTGCTGAGACACTGAAATACTTTTATTTTGATTATGGTTTCTTCCTTTTATTTTTTTTCTCATCTCGTTAAATTTTGAGGCTCGAATGCCATCCTGTTCTCTTCAAATTTCTTCGAAGTACAACTTTGTTTCTGAATTATTCACAATTTCTCTGCAAGGAATGAAAAAGTGAGGTTAAAATAAGAGCTCCTCAATACACTTCTCTGTGTGTTGAAAGTAGGTGAGATTAGATTGATGGACAAAAGATAATCTTGTTTCTGGTAATAATTTTTGCATATACAAGACTGAAGAAGCTCCTAACATGGAATGCAATTAGATTTTAATTACATTATTAGATTTAAATGACCTTAACTAACTAATGTAATTAGTTATTATAATAATCTTAGATGGCAGGTTAAACATCTTACTAATCGTGTAGAATGTCCATGATGGAGTAGCAGGAAGAGTCAAATTGTGGTTTGTTTTCTTTTTGGTCGTTTGTTTGTTTGAAGAGTGCAAGTGTATATCGATACTTTAGGGAAAATATTGAGTTACCACCCCCAGAACTAAGATAGAACAATCTAGAAAATTCAGAGTTCAGGTTAAACTGAAATGAGAACGCAAATATGAAGGTGCTCAATAAAGAAAGCTTCAAAAAAGTTATTTTATAGAAGCATAAATTACGTTTGAAAAGTATATTTAAAATCAACTTAATCTCAGATTATTTACACATATATATGGTATGGCATCCTTACAAAGTTTAGATAGTTGACTAGAGACTTCAGAAATAAAGGTAAATAATTGCTTATGGCTTGTAGGCAGCAAAACTTAGTACAAAATATTTTAAAAAGGTAGAAATATGAGATGTGCTTTCAACAGATTTAGTTTTCATTCAGTAAAGGAAAAATAAGGTAGAAATTGGGATCTTGGTTAGAAATTGAGGTAGTCAAATTAGAAAATATCCTGCAAAACGTTTGTTTTCTTTAGAAGATTTTCTTACCAAGGTAATGTGAAGTCTTCAGGTGTAGCATCTGGCTTTTTCATAGCTTTCAGCTGGAGTCCCAGGTTGGCCAGGTGACCTGGGGCCATTTAACAGCTAGTGGCTGATGACTCAATTTGAACCCAGATCCTGCTGCTATTGCCAAGACAGGGAGATCCAGTTTTTCAGGAGAGACCAAGAATAATCACTGAATGTAAACAGTAAATGCTATGAAGATTTTACATTCTTTCGATGTGATACTTCTTAAATTAGTTATATTTCTAACTTAATTACATACAATATAATCTTTAAACTGGAATTTTATTCCCTTATAAAAAGATGATGTTTGTCAAACGTTTTATTTCAGAAGAACTTGCTTTTTTGAAAGTAATTTTTCCAGATTGCTGAACTGCATAATTATGGTTACAGATTTGAACCATTTTTTTAAAAAACATCTAAGTGTTTGGAGTTTAATGATGTTTTTTCAACTTCCAGTATTTTAACTATGAAGATTTAACATAGCTTGTTATACAGTCTATTACTTAAGGAAAAAAAAAGCTTCTAAAGATATTTCACATCTATATAGTAGGTTTGCATATCAAGGTGATTTTCAAATGACATGATTCTGTGTCTCAAATGTAGCCACCCCAAAACTGAAGCTGTTACAATGAACAGCAACACAGAACAGGGGAGACCTATAGATTCTGTCCTTAGGCAAGCTTTGCATTCTGTATCCATGAACTAATTTAAACCTTGATCTGTAAACTGCTGAAAGCTCATTGCTACTCCTCATTGCATATTGGGCAAAGGCAGCCAGTTTGTTCCACTGACTACAACAGTAGTTTGGATGTGGGCCAATACGAAATGTAAGTCTTCATGACCATAAACAATTAGAACTTCGATTTTTATCTCATTGATAGAATAACATCTTTTTAAGCACGTTTGTTGTGCTTTCACATGAATACAAACCCACCACAAGCAGTTCCACTGCCTGAATCTTAGATTGCTTCTACCCAGGAGTGTTGTGCCCACTGACAGAGTAACTGCGTGTATTTCCTTATATACTTCTACATAACGTCAGGTTATGACTGAATCTCCGCACAAGATTTTGTTATTGGGGATATTGCTTTTATTTTGTTGTGGTGGTTTTGAATTCAGAAGTTAAACAAAAAAAGGTCTGAAGCATGTTCCAGTGAATACTTTTCACGTGTGATCTAAAAATAATAGTCACAGTTTTTTTTTTTTTTTACTAGAATTTATATTCTAGAATTACTAGAATATCGTCTTATGATCTGCTATTTCAAGGAGTGAGTTAATAAAACATTATTTCCACTTGTTTGCAGAGTAGAATTGTCATAGATGATACATACCATAGCAAGCCAAGTTGTGAACTTTCAGGGTTAGTGACAGAACCAAATCTGTCAGGTCGTTCACACACTTTAACCTTCTCTTCAAATGAGGTGAGTTTCAAAGTGTGTATATGTGTCTTGTTGATGTTGTTCATACTACAGCATGTTTAATAGAACCCCATTTTTCTTTTTTTACATGAAACTGGATGACTCTTTCCATATTTTAATGTTGAAGAATGCTGTAAAAAATCCTGAGCCATTATTAAACACGTACTGGAAGGCCCTATATTGGCCTTTGTGTTTTGATCCCCATTGTATCAAAAAACCGGAATGAACTCTGTATGATTAAGTTGCAATTTTTAATTTATAATATAAATTTCTCTTCCACTAATTTGAAGTCACTTTCTGGATGAATGAAAACTACAGCATTTTTGACTGTGCCCTCACCTCAGTGCAGGTTTGTGGAGACCTCTTTTGTACAGATGAAACCTGAGATCTACACTTTGATAACAATTTTCATTGTCTCATTTGGTGTTTGACTGATAGACATCTTTATCAATTAAATGCTTTATAGACTAGGAGTTGCTAAATCTGAATGCAGGCAGGAATAAGCTAGAAGGCTAGCCAAACTCACAGTGACAATGTTTGGAAGCAAGAAATAGTGATTAATAAATGAGTTTGCAACTAACTATATTAAAGTAGGCTTTGGTGAAAATAAGCTGGTAATGTGTAGAAGTCAAAACAGTCTTAAAACAATGCTATAAATATGCAGCACTGCATTCTGCCTTACAAATCCTAAATTGTTAAAGGACTAGAGATGGAAACACCTCTATGAAGTGGAGAAGAGAACGGCACTCTTCTGGGCAGACTCTCCTACAGTTTGGGGAAGTGACCTGGTGGTGACAGGTCAGCAGTCAGCTAGACAGCAGTGGCACCTCAGTTTGGTTATCCAGTGAGCTAGTGGTAACCTCTTTTATTCTTTCAAAGATTTTAACTTCTTAAATTGCGTGATTGCAATTTTATTTCAGCTGTGTCTTTTGTCTTACACGCCTTCAGTGTGTCCATCCATACTTGCCTACTGAATCACTAACACTGTTATGCAGGAGAGCACATCGTTCTCTCGTGTTTCCACTCTTCATAAGTAGGTCTAGTTCTGTTTTCTGAATTTGAAGTTATTCATGTGTGGTGGCAGCTGCAGCAGTGACTGTTTTGGAAAATTACTGATGTATACATAGCTTCGGTCAGTGCTGCCTTTGGAAGGTAAACAGTTTTAGGGGGAAGAGTGTTAGTTAATGACCAATAAGCATTATTCAAAAATCAATATTCTGAACCTTTTTCTGTCACACTTCTCTTAATCTTACTCCTAGAAAAGTTACAATTGTGCTTTTGTGCAGTAGGGAAAAGTTTTATTTATACTGTATAAGTTTTCCTTTTCTCCCTGACTTATCTGAGGAATGGTTGTGTTTTAATGCAGATTGTCTTTTTGGTGCGATTTTTCTTATCATGTTAGTTTGTGTTCTACTAATATGAGATACAAGGATTTGCTAGTATGTTGAAAGTATAGTTGGAATTATTAGCACCATCTGGAGGACTTCGGCTGCTAGCTGATGCAATCCATGCTGCATGGAGGAGCTGGTGCCGAGAGCTGTTCGGCATTCTGTAGGGGACTGCATTCACCTGGAGAAAGGAATTAATCTGCAGTACTCTGAAAGTACATAGCTGAAGCTGAATGGCTAGCATAGATCTAGGAAAATTAATGAGTTCCACCTGCAATAAAATAGTAAATATAATGTCTATAATTTTTAGCCTTTGTAGAAAAAAACTTTGGCAATATATCTTTTTGGTTCTTTCTTTCTGCTGATAGGCCACACAATACTGAGATAAAGTCAAACATGAAGTGTAAAAACTTTGTATTTTTTGTACATTATTCAAAAATTCTAGAATGAGACAAAAGAAGTTACCAATATATATTTTGTATTACAGCTATAGGTTGAGGAATACGTATTTAAAATGATTTAAAAAATAAATGGGCATTTTCAAATTCCTGTTGTAATTTTTATCTTCTTTTTCTGTGCTAAGCACTCCGATCTTGGTGGCCTGCACAGAAAACACTCTTCTCCAGTTCTCCTGATAGAAGTGCTGCACAGAGCACTTCAAGCAAAGCCTTCTCTAAAGCCTTTTGATTTTGTGAAAATTACTGTTCTTCTGAACATCAGGAGGGCCAATATATCCATATTTGTTATGTCTGCATTAGCATTTTAATTAGGTGTTCCATTTTGAAGCAAATTTCTGGATTGTCCTATTTGTCTTACGTTGATTCACCTTGGAAATCAGCACACACTTTGAATGCCCCCAGTGTGCTCCAACTGCTAGTAGCCGCTGAGTCTGTGTGACCAGGCTTAATCTATTCTGAGGTTAAAAAAAGAAAAAATCCTTTGAAATGCTTGTATTATAGAAATTAAGACCTCTGCTAAACTGTTCTGCTCTACAAACTGTTCCTGTGCATCTGTACTAGGTCCTAATGTAACCATTCTCCTTTATTTCATAGGCCAGACAAAGTGAAAGCATTTCTAATTGCATGAATTCCTCTGAAGTTTTAAGTTGTGCTTGTACATCCATTATGCTATTTTGATCTCTCAGGTCGTTTTGACTGTGTGTCAGACCATGTGATGGGCCTAAGACTCACCATCTTTCATGTGATTGCTGGAATTATTTAGGTTCATGCAGTAGCTCTCCAAGAGAGCTTCCACTTTTGAAGCTGTAGTTAGCTGCTCACCTGAAACGTATAGGGCCACATCTCAAATTCATTTGTAGAAAGATGCTTATTTCCATGTTTCACATTTACAAATGTGTGATGTGTGTTGACCTACGTGTCCAAAGTAGGTGATGTTTGAGATGCTTTTACAAACATCCTTGATAAGTTATGAAGCTACCTAACAGAGCAATCTTCAGTTCTAAATGCAGCCCATACTCAATAAAAAGCTAGTGAGAGATCTCATTCAAGTGCCACACTAGAATTCCTGCTGTAGAGATATTAAGCTCTGTTTTATGTAGCTTTTCTTTTGTGATGAAGTAAAAGAGTGCTTCAGGACTAACAGCAGTACCTTTTTCCCCCTCAGAAGCCAATTTGAAATGGAGGCAGTGAGCTGTTCTGTGAGTACTGTGTGCTGGAGACATGTAATACCAGTGGAATGCTATAGGCTCTTCACAGATGGCCTTCTACTAGACAGACCCTTTACACTGATGACATGATGGGATCAGATGAAAGAACAAACTGTTCTTGCTCCTTAGAAGTGCTCCACATTTAGTAAAACTGTACTTAGAATTGTTGTCAGATTTCTTGACTGCTAGAATTGTATTCTGGATTTCCTTAAAAAAAAATCAGTAATACAGCTGAGTGCTACTCGACTGGTTCTTCTTGACGCTGTATAGGCCAGTATCTAGATTTGGGACTGAGCCACTCTGACTGATAGAACGTGTTGGTTGTTTGCATACACTGAGTTTAGCAAATGCTTTGCTATTTGTTGAGAATGGTTTTCATGAAAATGTGATTTCTTAGAGAAAACCATTTGTGTTCTCTGTTTCTCACTTACTTTGTGTTGAATGTTGTTGTATTGTCCGTTTGTTTATAACAAACTCCTAGGCAAGCTGACTATAAGCTGTGATCTCAAGAGTTCATGTCCCTTTGAAGCTACAGTATGTTTAACAAAGTATATTTTTACCCAGATTCAATTGACAACTAGAATCCAGCATAAGTAAAATACTTTTTACAGTGCCTTTTTTCAATTGACTAGGCGTTAGATGATGAATTCACAACAACAGGGAAGCAGAATCAGTGGCACAGTAGACCTATCTCTGAATGGACCACACAGCAAGTTTGCCACTGGCTAATGGGAATGAACATGGAGCAGTACATTACAGAGTTTACAGCTATGAACATAGATGGACAGCAGTTAATGCAACTCGACAGTGATAAGTTAAAGGTATGTGAATATCTCAGGATGGATTTGTAACAGTATAGTTTTCATTGCTTATTCAGCCGTTCTTGTGACTACAAAGTCTGTTTTCCTGTTTTCATGATTTTTGTTTTAAGGGACAGAGTTTTGGTTTTTAAATACTTTGAGACTATAGTTAGATGAGAATTTAATAATTGATAGTATTTTTCTGATAAATAAGAGCTTGCCTTTTTACAAAGTATATCTTTCTGGTTTCATCTTAAGGAAATAAAAATCAGCAAATATTCCCAAGGGGAAGCTTGATACATGTACAATCAGTCTCAGTATAAGGTCATCAGAACAAGATCCAGCCAAGTAAAATGTGTAGAACTGCAGGATGCAATTTTAGAAAACTTAATTTCTTTCATATCTGTTCTTCAAATGGGAAAACAAAAACTGCATGTGATGACCTTTTAATTGCTTTTAATTTTTTTATTTCTGCTGGGGGAAAAAAAAAAAAAAAAGTAAAAATTAAAACATTAAATTGTTCCTTTAAGCCTTTTCTAGTCGTTTTGCCTCTGGAAGCTGCATGGTATGAGTCCCTTATGATGCTAGAAAATACTTTAAGCTTTTATTTCTCAGTAGATTATCTGTCTTCTGGACAGGCAAGATGTGCAACTAAAATGAGGTTCATTCGCTTATCCTAGCATAAGGCAAAGTATTGTTAATGATCAGTAGTAGTAACAGGCTTTGAGTGTTTTAGGGAGGAAAATTTGTGTCCAACTTTGGTCTCTAAAATGCACTTGTATTTTTAGAATAGGCTTTCAATGCTAAATGTCCTTGTAATCAATGTATCTTGTAATCAGATATTTCCTCAGACAGAGAAGAAATACCGTTACTGGCCTGTTGAATGAATGTCTGTCTGAGGAATTTGGGATGGTAATGCTGGTAACTCGGTTTACAATTCATGTTACTAGGAGTTCCAAAAAGGTGTGATACTGCTACCTGTAACTTGGAATCAGATGCTGCCATCTGCTGATCAAAAATCAAAGTGCACTATTACTGGCCATTGACTGTGCCTTTTATAATACACCTTAAAATCCTCAGTACTTATAAGTGACCAAGTTTGGCTGCCCTAAAACATAGGCAGATGATAGAATACGCAAACAAGTAAACAGAACAGAAATCTCTGAATGAAGGATGAGCTCAAGAAAAGCATTGCTGTGATAGAGAGTGCAGTGTTAGTGTGCCATACATTTATAGAAATAATTCAGTTGTGTTAACGGACACAATTCCAATATTACGTCATCAACACAAGCAATGTCAAGGAAAGGTGGAAATTTGTTGCACTTATTTTCTATTTACCATTAGCCCTCACTGGATCTTTGTTATCATAAAGGAATGAATTATGTGCCAGAAAAGAAAAGATCTTCAGCCACTGTTGTGGTTGCTCTTTTTTTTTTTCCCCCAATTTTTCTTCTCAGGAATGACACGGATTCCAAAGATTCAGGTTTTAAAGAGCTGGCCCATCTTCTTTTTAGGTGAATACTTGGTTTGGTCTTCGTTTTTAACACTGTTAAAGTCTTCACCATCAGTAGTGAATGTCTTTAGTTACTAAGCTGTTTTATTTCTTTCTTTTAATCTACATGACGCAATCTTAAAAGAAACACGAACTTCCTAGAATGAGCTTTCATGGATTGGATTTTTCTCAAGCAGTTACAAAACACTGCTGGCTGGAGTGAGTTCAGCAGCATTCCTAATTTAAAAATAAACAAAAAACAAAACAAAAAAACCCACCAACCTCCTTAAACTGTTCTTGCTTAAGTACTGTTGATAGTGTTGTTGGAAAAACTATAACAAAGTACTTTTTTTTTTTTTTTTTTTAACCCCAAAGGCTTTGGGAGTTTCCAGTCAAAATGACCGATCAACAATAAAGAAAAAAATTAAGGATATTAGGAAAACACAAGAAAAACTGGAAAAACAGAAGGAAAAAGTTCAGAAGAAAGAGAGAGAAGTTCGCAAGACTGCCAGAGTGGTAACCACTCTTGAATCCAGCTGCTAATGTGACCCTGCCTTTAATCTTAGTTCATACTTGTGTCATTCTGAGGAAGTTCAGCAGATTTGTATATAATTGTACAATTGAGGGGAGAAGGGAAAGAGCAACAGTTTAATATGGTAGGTTTGTTTTTTTTGTTTTTTTACTTTTTAATTATAGTCCCTCCCCATTACAACCCAATAAAATGAAATATTTTCAGTATTTCATTCCTAGTTGACTCTGCCTGTACTAATAGTAATTTAACTTCCTGCCTTAAGTAATATTTGTGCTTCTAAGACTTCATATGCCCTCTTAATTGAAGTTTCTACACATTTGTGGAAAGTAGAATACTATATTTAAAATCATTCCAATATTAGTCAACTAGCATTTAATAGAGTTGAATCTGGTAGAGGGACAATAGAAAAATCCTGCCAACAAATTCAGTTTGTGGCAGTCTGTTTATCTGTTGCCACTAAAGATGTATAGAGAAAAGTGTTTAAAAAAAAAAAAAAAAGTAATGTCAAATTAATTTAAGAAAGCATGTATTTCAAATTTATGAAGTATTTTCTTTAAATTCATGTATTTCTGGGATGATTCATTCTCACACTAAGTCCACTGTAGTAGCACATTGTTTTTGAATTCCATGTGTTGCAATTTACTGAGAAAATAACAAGAAATATGAAGTGGTTTTCACAAACTACATACACTAATCATAATATTAATTTCTCTGTACACTACCTTTATGATACTGGGACAAGGTTTAAACCTATAAATAAGATCTTTTTTAACCTATTTTTTCCTAAATAATACAAAGTTTTATAGATTTATGCTACAAATAAGATCAATTTGCAATACATGTATTTCTCTTTTCTACTTGCTACAAGTTTTTTGCGGACCAAATTTATATATTTGCTAATTTTAAACTTTACTGTTTTTCAAACTTAAAATATCAAGGGAAGAACTGTAGAAAAACTATCACTGAAGCACTGGGTTTCTGCATTGTATTTAAATATGTTCAATTGTAGACTACAGATTATTTCTCTTTAAAGGAGGATTTGATACGCCATATAGTTTAGAACATGAATTGGTGTTTTGTATATTTACATACTGTTTTATAGATACTGTAACAGCACTTCTTTAATTAGATTATTCCAGAAACAAAGTATCAATTCCACCATAGAATAGACTAGAACAAAACTTATATCATTTGTGTATGTGGACCAAGTTCTCCTTTAAATCTATGGACTGTTTTTCATTTTAATTAAATGAATGAACTTCGCTGTTGGTGTTTTGCAAGTCTTTATTTTCCTTTTTTTGTATAACTGTCTAGGGAACTCCAGCAAAGGGATAGTGTGGAAATGCTTCTGCACACACCATCCATTTCTAATATAAAGTTTAAGAATCTTGGTACTTCTAAAGAAAGACTCTATTTTCAGTTGAGTGCATTAAGAAATCTTGAGAATGTAATTAGTTAACTTATTTACTTTGTCTCTTGTAGCTTTGAGTTTGTACTCTGAATTCAGACCTTGAGCCAGGGAGGATCGCTGCCCTACTGATAAAGAAAAGGGAACTAGAAGTACGGAATTATCAAATTCTTAGAATTACACAACTGAAGCTGTGCTTTCTGTAGTCCAGTCAAGGATGTCTATTTCTCAATTAAGTGCTTTCAGCCAGAGCAGGGAATACATCTGTGTGTTCTCTCTTTTCTTTAAATCATCTGAGCTCGGTGTTGCACCCAGTGAAGAGCTTGTTTCTCAGAAGGAGACTAGTGGAAATGATGGCTTGCTTGCATACAGGGCTAACTCGGGGCTATAGCAGAGATGCTAAATTCACCTGGCACCTGAGCTTAAGAACAGATTATCGCAGACCACGGATTTCAGTATCTGTGAGATACTGAATAGGAAGTCTGTTTCTACAGAACTTGTTTAGTTATGAACAAAATCACCCAACCAAAAGTGTAATTTTAAAAATATTTTTAATGAATAAATGTAGTGATTCTTTCAGAAAAATTAACACAAACCAAGATTAATTTTACAGTGCAAGACCATTCTCATTTTCATACAAAACTATTAATCTCAGCACTTTGATAGCTGAGCTAGTATACTACTTCACTATAAACTGTGCTAATGATGGCTGCAGTTACAGCAGTGAAAATGTTAAACAAAAATATCATCTTCTGAACTTCTATTTAAATCAAAACTAATAGATTAAACTCATGAGTAGGGGTAAATGCTGTAAAGCAAAGCACTGCTACATTTGTGTTTTCACCACAGTCACCTGGGGTGTTGGGTAAGGAGAGAGGAGTATAGAGGACAAATCATTTCTAATATAATCAGAATTCAATAGGTAATTAGCTGAGAGCATGGAAGGGCTTTTATTTCAATACCACCATTCAATAGCAATGTTTAAACAACTTCATAGGGAAAAAGTGATTTTGTTTTTCTTCAGAAACATCTCTTCTGATTCCCAGATATTACTAAAATTGCTCAATTTAGTTTTTTAAATATTTAAAACAGCAAGAGAGCTAGAAGAATGTTCAGCTTCAGAGCTGTTTTTAAAAACTGTTGCTGTGACCTTTAGCTTTAGTTCAGCAAATGTAATAGCTGCAAATACTCCCTCTAACTTTTGTAAAAGGCCCATTTTACAATATGTAGAATTTCTCACATTCATCCTCTTACAGTGTTGAAGAGAGCAGCTGTAGCTTTAGCCATGCAGACTGAAAGATATTTCAGTCATGAACTCATGTCCTTGTAGGAAAATAAAACAGGGACTTAAGTGCCCCCAAGCTTGAGTGGAGCAGTTAACTGTGCTGTTCTAGCTAGGACTACTTAATCCTCCCTCAGAGTGTTAGTTTAACTACATACGTAGCCATTCTGTAACTTCCTCCTGTTAAAGAGACCCATGTTAGCTTGAAAAGAATATAAAAGCATTTTATTGTTTTGCAGATTGACACTAGGGAGTAGTAGGTGATAATCTTTAGCCTGGCTCAGCTACAGCTAGAACAGCGTGACTGCAAGTTCTCATGTACCAGCTATGCCCTTCACTTGTGGTATCTCACCTTGTGCTCTGCACAGTGCAAGTAACCAAGTAAAATTTAGGCTCACACTTTCTGAGAGCAATTATGCATGTCTGCTGCATGACTAAGAGCATATGCAATGAGTTACCTGAGGGAAAAGGCTTAATTCCAAAGGTCTTTAACTGTTTCACTCCTAAAATGCTCAGGTATGATATAAAAATACAATACAAATGAGTCTGACTTCAACAAAGCTGGAACACTAGCCATTAAGAGAAGCCAAATCCCTTACTGAAGGACTGTGTACCTGAAAAGTAATGCTTGGCCAATCCCCAGAGTTCTGAGTTTGCCTTTGCCTGATGAATATATTCTGCTTAGCTTATTTGCATTATAGTATGACCTCAAGCTACTAGATAAATGAAGCCAGAAGCCCACCACAACTACTAAGGTATTTTCAAAACCTGCTAATTCCACAATACTCCTGAGAAAGTAGTTTCTATTATCCAAGTAATAGAGATTCCCTACTAACAGTAAATTTAAAAAAATGTTTATTAAAAAATATTTTTAACTTACAGCTGTAACCTGACATACCCCAGAGTCTGAGATCTCACTGGGGCTAGAACACTGATACTGTGGTTTGATATTACCTATAGAAATATAAGCAAATGTAAGACAGCAAACCTTTACTGCACACAAGCAAACACTACTTACTAATTCACAATGATCAAGGAAAGGTAAGTTTATCACACATTAAATATTCACATTACCACCAAAGAAATATTACCAATACCACCTACCTGAGATACATTATACCAGTGGTAGCAGCTAGAACTGATTTTTTATTTTTTTAAGCTATTATTCCTAAAGATCTATGTGTGGTTTCTAAAGCTGTGAAAAAAATGTTTATTGTATAGGTAACATTTCTAACTTTGCAAAATTAGGCTTCAGCATACTTAAAATCAAGAAACAGAAAGCTCCATACAGGTGCCAAGGTACAGCAATGAGCTCCTTAATGTTTATTAAGTGAGTGTTCATTAATCTTCTAACACTGCATAATGGAAAAATACTCCGGCAAGCTTTTTCAATAGTTCCATTAAAAAATGTTGTAATCATATGACCTAATACATTTCTCAGTAGATATGAAATAGGTTACACTGGTCTCTATAAAACTTTAAAGTACTGCTCCCTTGATTTAACTACAGAAAGTAGTCATTAATAGAAGGTGGAACAAATTACGCATGACCTTTGTAAAAGTATGAACAGCTTATTACTTTTTTCTTAAATTCCAGGAAAGAAAGTAATAGATTTAAGCTTTGTTATTCCCTTTAGAATGATTTTCACAGATCAAACGTGGCTCAGCGTCTTCATATAAACCAGGGTCTTTTAAATTCCCTTCAAATGACATACATACACCTTAGGAACTGTTGAGCAAAAAGCTATGTACTGCGAAAAGTAGTCATGTCCTTTGGCTCACTGCTTGGCACACACCAGTCATCTGCTTCATGGTTTGCTTTATAATGTTTCCAGGCTGCTTTATTATACACAGGGAGTCTTTCGACTGATTCTGTTGATAAGGCCTGTAAATACATAAGACCATAACAAACTTTTGTTTGAACAAAGATTCATTGATAGAATTGATGGTAAAATTAAAACGGTAAAGTGAAATGATATATCATACCTTTATGTAAATAACTGCATCTGTGCCATAACCTTCTAAAGAATACAGTTTCAGGTCTCCTTGGAAGTACTGTGCATACAGGCGTGATATGGGCAAGCCATAACCAAATCCAGCCTGATTCGGGAGAAAAAGTATATTTTTATTAACAGCATCAGTGAGTGCTTGGTTTTCGTGGCTTTTAATTTAAAAGGTAAACAGAGGGTTAAGAGTAATGTTTGACAGTAAGGAATTCACCCCAGAAAGAGGAAAAAAACACTGTTAACCTGTGAGTATGAGGAGAAAACTGTTTTATTCCTTAGACAGACAGAGCTGCTAGATAACAGTTCTTGTATTTTAGTAGCTTCTTTCAAGAATAAACTGTATTGAGTGCCTTACAGCACTGCTGATCTTAAGTGTTTCTTAAGTCAGGTACGTTTCATCATCAGTATACAGAAAAAGGTTCAAGAAGAAACTAATGGGAATTTATAGTTTGTGCTACAATTCTGTCAAGCCCTGTCTCTAGCAGTAGGATGCAGCCTGAACTTTTAAGCATATAGGTATTTAATCTACTGTATTTTAAAAAGAATTCCTCTAAGAATACTACCCTGGTTTTATGTAAAGATCTGTTATCTAGTGAGTTGCACAGTCATCTAAGCGCAGAAAACTGTTAAAACTCCTTAACAACAAATGCTACATTTTCAGTGCTACTCTCAGAGAGAACAAATTCAGGAAAGCTGTTCAGAGCTTCTTACTGTATTTCTCAGGCATCTGTTAAGTTCACATGAGACCATGAGGCTGAAGTAGATTCTTCATCTACCCTGTCATATCTGTGTACCGTCATTCTTACTGGGGAATGGTACAACTGACTACATAGCACAGCTGAAACTATAGATTTGATTCAAAACTGATGCTATAGTGTTTTTTTTCCCCCTTTCTTCCGGTGGTCACTAGAAGAATTCAGAGTCCTGCATTTGTATGCAGTATAGCTAATTGTTCTGCTTGGTGTAGTTCATCTCTATGTTTGATATAGAAGAACAGAATCTTTACATCTAAATAGTTGTCAGTGATTTAGGATTTCATACAATTTCCAATTTTTCAAGAAAATTTTTGAAGTAAGCTGTAACATCCAAATGGTCATACACACTGTATAAAACCAGTACTTCATGAATGGTTTCTTTTGTGATTATTACTCACATTCAAAATGACAAGGTATAAAAGATTTACATACCAAAGGTGTAGCTCGAGATGTCTCAACACGTGGACGCGGTGCTGTTGAATACATATAGTTGAATAGTCTGTCAATTTTCCTCATAGGAACACCTCCACCACGATCACTCATCTGGAACAAGAAGAAACACGTAGCATTATGTTCTTCAATGCAGTTTTATAAAAGACAGCATCTCTCAAATAATGATCCAGAGAAAATTCAGGTAAAATATAATACAAAGTTGTCCCTAGAAAATGATGGTCTTCTTAAATTCCCATCTCTCAGCTATAGCAACAAACAGATGAATTCTTCCCTATCATTCCTTATATACCAACTGAATAAAACACCATCATTAAAAATATCCAGAATCTCTTGAAAGTTCTACTTAAATTTTGCATTGT